TACCTATAGGGTAATTTGAAGTTTGGCGTGATTTTCTGGAGCAGATTTTTGTTGTTTCTGCCCAGTGCCTGTGGAGTGCCACTCTAGGACCTGCTTATTCAAGGCTTGAATTTCCTGATTAATGTAAAACTTGATTGCAATTAGTGGAAGTGCTAAGTTACTCCTGGTTTGTCTTTATCCTGTGGAGTCCTGTATTAAATATGGGGGATGTTTATTAGACTTTCCATCTTCTGTGACCCTGGATTTACATTTCTCTCTTGCCCAGTAATCCTGCAAAAGTCATAGTACAGTTTATAGATTTTTATTTTGTACTGTCAAATGCCTTCAGGACTAATATTTGGCTTAATTGTCTGGATACTACCTTCTAAGACTTTGTTTCAAGAATTCTGTATATTAGGCATTTGCTTCTTTTCGTAAACCCAGATTTTTTGGTTGTTCTCAGCTGCTGAGTTGGATCAAATTACCAACTTGTTTAATATGTATGCTAGTGTGAAACCATCCTTGCATTACTGGGGTAAAAGCTATTTATAAGCTAAATGGGGAAACTACTTTTTGTTTGGTTTAGCATCAAGCTTATTATAGCATTTAAAAATAGAGAATGTTCCTTCATTTAAAAATAATCTCTATAGTATTAGAAACCAGAGCGTTGGTTGTTTCTGGTTTGACTGGGAAGGGGCAGGAAGGAACTTTCCGGAGTGATGGTAATGTTCTATTCTTGATAAACACTTTTTAAAACAAATTGATGCTTACTTAAGATATGAGGATTTCCCTATATGTTAATTATAACTTAAGAAAAATTATTGTTCAAATATTAATAATTGTTCAATCTAGTTGCAATGTATACAGAAGTTCATAGTATTATGCTTTCAACTTTTCCTTATGTTTAAAAATTCCATAATAAAGAGTTGGGGATATAAATTAAAAGATAAATTCAAGATAAAAAACAGTTTCTTTGTTATTAGTTTCAGTAAAGGTTGAGGCCAAACACTTAGCATAAAGGAGTGGAGACAAGTAAATAAAGTAGATTATGTGGAAAGAAGAAAGGTGGCTTGAAACTACTTAGGAGGCTTGAATATGGTTGTAGGGAGAGAGGAAAAAATTGGTGGGAAGAAAAAGAGAAATATTGGTATGGACTGATGGATAAGGAAGGGAGAGGATTAACAAAACAGGTACTTAGAACTAAATTCAATATTCCATGCATTGTTGAATCATGTACTCAACTAGGATGAATACTCTTTTCTGAAGATACTAATATGTATCATATGGGTATGTAAGAGGTTCTTAATACTTTTTACAGTGTGTTTATCAGCTGTTTAGATAAAGAAAATTTATCACTTTGAAGCTCATAAAATGAACTTATATAATTGATTTAATCCTCCAACATCCTGAGATAAGGAATAATCATTCTTGTATTATAGATTATAAAAATTAGGTTGAGATTTTCTAAAGTTACACAGCTAATAAGTGGAAAAGCTAATTCTGAGACATTTGACTCTATGTAGTATAACTGTAGGACATTTTAATTACAATACTTACATTTTCTATCTGGAGTCAGATTAAGGCAGTAGCCTAGCCAAGTATTGCCTAAAATCTCAATCCATAAAGAGTATACATGTTTTATCATTGAAAATTGTATTAAAAATTTTTTTTTATTAAGGTATTATTAATATACAGTCTTATGAAGGTTTCACATGAAAAAAGTGTGGTTACTACATTTGCCCATTTTATCAAGTCCCCACCCATACCCCATTGCAGTCACTGTCCATCAGTGTAGTAAGATGCCACAGATTCACTTTGCCTTCTCTGTGCTACACTGTTTTCCCCATGACCCCTCACACCATGTGTACTAAACATAATACCCTTCAACACCCTTCTCCCTCCCTCCCCACTTGCCCTCCCACACCCCTCCCCTTTAGTAACCGCTAGTCCCTTCTTGGAGTTTGTGAGTCTGCTGCTGTTTTGTTCCTTCAGTTTTGCTTCATTATTATACTCCACAAAAGAGGGAAATCATTTGGCACTTGTCTTTCTCCACCTGGCTTATTTCACTGAGCATAATATCCTCCAGCTCCATCCATGTCATTGCAAATGGTAGGATTTGTTTCTTTCTTATGGCTGAATAGTATTCCATTGTGTATATGTACCACCTCTTCTTTATCCATTCATCTACTGATGGACACTTAGGTTGCTTCCATTTCTTGGCTATTGTAAAAAGTGCTGTGATAAACATATGGGTGCATATGTCTTTTTGAATCTGAGAAGATGTATTCTTTGGGTAAATTCCAAGGAATGGGATTCCTGGGTCAAATGGTATTTCTGTTTTTAGTTCCTTGAGGAAACTCCATATTGCTTTCCACAATGGTTGAACTAGCTTACATTCCCACCAGCAGTGTAGGAGGGTTCCCCTTTCTCTGCATCCTTGCCGGCATTTGTTGTTCTTAGTCTTTTCGATGTTGGCCATCCTTACTGGTGTGAGGTGATACCTCATTGTGTTTTTAATTTGCATTTCCCTGATGATTAGTGATGTGGAGCATCTTTTCATATGTCTGTTGGCCATCTGAATTTCTTCTTTGGAGAATTGTTTCTTCATATCCTCTGCCCATTTTTTAATCGGGTTATTTGCTTTTTGGGTGTTGAGGCATGTGAGTTCTTCATATATTTTGGATGTTAACCCCTTGTTGGATATGTCACTTACAAGTATATTCTCCCATACTGTAGGATGCCTTTTTGTTCTGTTGATGGTGTCATTTGCCATACAGAAGCTTTTTAGTTTGATGTAGTCCCATGAGTTCCTTTTTGCTTTTGTTTCCCTTGATCGAGAACATGCGTTCAGAAAGAAATTGCTCATGTTTATATTTAGGGAATTTTTGCCTGTCTTCTAAGAGTTTTATGGTTTCATGACTTACATTCAGGTCTTTGAGCCATTTCAAGTTTACTTTTGTGTATGAGAATAGACAATAATCCAGTTTCATTCTTAGCATGTAGCTGTCCAGTTTTGCCAACATCAGTTGTTAAAGAGGCTGTTATTTCCCTGAAAATTGTATTTAATGGGATTACTCTGGGGCAACGGTTTTGTATGTGGTTAGAAGTGGTACTTTGGTATGTGGCCTCTAGTGCTGGTGTGACTACTCTACATCCCTTTCCCAACTCCTCTCCAAGCATATGTCATGATGCCACAGTATAAGGAAGTTAGATCAACGTAAGTGCAGAGATTTCTTTTTGATGGGTGGGATATACAAATTTTGACTAGAGCTGAAGAGACTCCTTCCCACCTTTTACACTCAGGATTTCCTTTAAACCAACACAATGAATATTAGGGAGTATAATTTAGAAAAGATGCCAAATTAGTGATCTGGCTTAGGGAGACAAAGTAGCATCCTACTTCAGACCCCTTTCATTTATAACTAAAAACCCTCCTCAAACTATCTAGAAGAGTAAAGATAATGGTTCAAGAAAACTGACAAGGCAGAGCTGTGTGGATGTCAAAGATAATTCTGGGTATTTTTTGTGCATGTGTGATTTTTGCTCATGAGATGGGTTGGTCCTCAGGCAGGCCATCTTGTAGCAAAATGGCTATAGTGTTCCACAGGACAGAAAGTCTCCTTCCTCTAATCACTGAATGAATGTCCCAGACATTTCTTGTGCTACCTGATTGGCCTACCTTAGGGTATGGGCCCACACTTGATCTAATTAGCAAAGCCTGAAAATACCCTGTAGTATTTAGATTTACAGATCCAGTTCTGATCTAATCACTGTGGCAATGAGCACATTAGTTATTATTGGCTTAGGCCAGTCTGAGGCACCACCTAGAATTCCTTGTAGTCAAACCTACCCAACACTACAGTGAACACTACAAAGAAGTTATCAGTGTGGCCTTGTTCTCTTAGTTTTGTGTTCATGTCGGTTCCTCTTATGAGTTATAAGCTCCGTGGTATTAGACTGTATTATATTCCATTCATCATTCTATTATCTCAAAGCTCTTAGCCTATAGTGGCCTTCACTTAATGTCTGTTCAACACAAGAAACCCCACTGAGTTCTAAACCAAGGCCTAAGGAGAATAAGCTAAGATCAAGAATAAACTAAGCTTAAGCTCACAAATAGTGGGCAACTAGAATTAGAACCCACTCTAGGTACCATTCATTTATTCTTTTATTCATTAAACAAACAAGATACCAATTACTTGTCAGTCAATACCATCTAGTGGGTTCAAAAACATTTTCTAGGATAAAATTTTTGAATAAGAATTATATAATAACCACACAAATACCTACATAATTACCGTTCAGAAATATTACGAAAGAAAATTTCCGGGTCCTTTGAGAGGTCATTGACAGGGATTTGGATTAAAATGGGGGTAGCAGGTTTACAGAAGATCTTTCTGAAGAAGAGATACTGAGATGCTAAGACCTGAAGAATGCAACAGGAGTTAGGCAAAGAGGTCAAGTGGGAAATTATTCTTGGCCCCAGAATCAACATTTAGAGATCCTAAGACTTGGTGGTGGTCTGATGATTGAACTGAAAGAACTACAGTTGGAAGGGACAGTAGGCAAGACCCAGATTAAACACGGCCTTGCATATTATATTAAGTGTTTTAAAGTCTTTTCTTGGTGTTCTTCCATCCACCTCTTTAAGGAATTTGAACCCTGGACTTAGTCTAACGAATTTTCTGACGTTTGACTCAGCATCTTTTATGCTGTATGAAGACGTCTGGGGTGTCATTAAGCTTCCTTCCAACCACTCTGACCCTGCCATTCCTTCTTTCCTAGCTCTCCGATCTCCCTGACCCCTCGACTTTTTACCAGGGCCCTTTCTGAGCGCAAGGTCACTTCTCCCCCATTTCCACCCCGACCGTTTCAACTCTGCAGTTCGTGACATTCAGTCGCCTTTCAAAGTCAGCAAGAATCAGTCGGCCAGGTTGGTACTTTGAGGATATTAGTAATCCAAAGAGGTCTCACCAATCTGCACCATTAGATCGTAACAATAGCTTACCCAACACCCATGTTTAGACTGTTTTGCCGCAACTACTGGGAAGTGGGGGATGGTTTATTTGCGGCTCCTTCATCCGTCCACAGTCACTGTATGGAAGGGCACTGTAGAAGTTTCCCGAAATGTTCCTGTCACGAGTCGCGGCACCTCTCTTCCTCTCTGCCACTCCCCCAGGCCAAGCCCTCCTCGAGGTCCAGTAACGCTGCACTCGCAGCGGCGCTTCAGGGGATCAGGCCGGGCTGCCGCACCGAGAAAAGCAGGCCCCGTGCGGGGCCGAGGAACGCACGCCCCGGGCGCCAGAAGGCACGCGGGAGGCTGGCAGGCGGCGGGAGAGCACTGGAGCCGATACCAGGCAAGCACGGCGCGCCACGAGCGCGGGCGGAAGACGGGGGCGGCCTGTAGCAGGCAGAGGGTGTGGGGGGGCGCCGGGAAGGCGAGGCGCGCGCGTCGGGGGCGGAGCTCCCGCGCCGGTCACGTGACGAACCGGCGGCGGCCGCGGCGTCTTCAGCGGCGCCCAGTGCAGGATGGTGCTAGAGGCGGCGGCGGCGGCGGCCGTGGTGGCGGCGGCGTCGTTGGCGGCAGCGGGCGGGGGTGCTGTGGCGGTAGCGGCGGCGACGCCCGCGGGTGGTGCAAAATGGCGGATTTCGAGGAGTTGAGAGTAAGCGGGGAGTGGAGAGCGGAGGCCGCGGGGGAGGGGTGAGGAGGGGAGGCGGAGAAGCCGTAACGTCGCGGGGCCGCCACCTTCTTGTTTCTCAGGGACCCGCTGACGGATCCCGGAACCCCGGCCCGCGCCTTCGGCGGCGGGCGGGGGAAGGGAGCCAGGCGGCGGCAGACGCCGGTGCCGGGAGTGGGTGGTGGCCCTGGAGTCCAGGGCCAGCGGCCGGTGGTTCCCGCCCGGGCTCCGCACACCTGGCGCGGCGGGCCGGGCCGCCCTCTGACGGTTTCGTAGGGATCCGCCTTCCCCGTTTATTTAAGGGGCTGGGGTGGGAAGCCGGGTTTGGTTTTCCACCTTCTCAACGGTGTACGTGTCTGTGACGATTCAGAAGTGTACATGCTACTCACTTGGTGGGAGACTGTTTTCTGAAACGTGAAGTTGTATTTGGGAATTCTTCCGTCTCCCACTCCGATGGCTGATGCTACCGTTTAGTCAGATCTGTCACGAGAAAGGCCCCGTCCTCCCACCAGTGCTTCTTCAACATCTTGGAGAGAAGCGTGCCTTTTTCGGAACTCTGTCTTCAGTAATCAACCTTAAACCTTGATATTTTCTTGGTGCCATGGTAAGAAATCTGCAAAGTCCGCGTTATCATGAGGTTGGTTTGTGAACTCGTTTTGCTTTTGAGGAAAAACATTTTTCTTCCTGGCCTTAGAGCAAGGTCACAACTTTATTGTTGATACCTTTGTACAGTAGAAGTTTGAAATGTGGGTATGTTGGGGGTAGAATGGAAAAGGTATTTTTCCCCGGGCTGATAACCTTTAGAGTCCTCAGCTGAGACAAAACTGTGAGAAACGAGCGGGATTTATTTTTTTAATGGGTTGCTGAATTACTGGCAACGTAATAGAACAGTTAAGAACGGAAACGCTATTAAAACAAAGTAGAGATGAATGTGAACTTTAAGTTAACTGCAACCCTTGTGCGTAACAACAAACGTACGTTATTAGGGTTATTTTTCTGCAATAAGAAGAAATAGAAATCAGGTGAAAGATTCAGTTTTGTATGTTTATTATTGTATTTGGGGGAAAGATGGGATTGGGGAAGGATGCTGGCTGGTGACCTGGCTGGTACTGTGGACATGCAGCAGAAGATCATATTGGTGATTCTGATGTAAAGGTAGATTGTTATAGTTGGCCTAATGCCTGCCATTTTTCCTCTCCTGCTGGTTTAAAAAGAATTATTTAATTCTCAGTAAAGAGAAAAGTATATTAATACATTTTATGCCCCATGTTAGTTTATTCCCAGAATCATGGCAGTAGGTAAAGGGTGTTCATATCGATAAGTGGAAGGGTTTTAGTGTCTCAGTTCCAGCTGTAGACCTTTTAACACCTGTGGAGCTTTTGAAACAAGCAGGCCTGAACCTCACTGTGTAAATTCATGCGTTAGGTTTAGGATGCATTGAGTAGACTGAAGTTTGAAGTTAAATTTATTTTTACCTGCAGTACCATCTTAATTTTTCTATAGTAACAGATGTATACAACTTTTCTTTTTCATAAGATTTTTTTGTTGATGAAAGCTTTTCCAAGATTTGTATTAAATTTTATAAATTTTGTCGGTCAAAGCATAATAAAAAGAATTTATTTGTCAGTATAGGGTAAGAAAGAGTAGTTAGTACTTAGGTTGGGGTGGACCTAGAAACTGCAAAGTGGTTGGAAACTAATGAAGCCTTTCTTTTTGTCTCTCGCTGTCTTTCCCCCTCCCTCTTTTCTGCACTCTCTCCCCTCTCCTCCCTCTTACCCTCCCCAGTTTGTTTTGTGGATCAGCTTCATCATCTCTGTAAATCAGCTTGTCTTTGCTTCTCCTTGCATTTTATAGAAAATGGTCTCCTCCCCAACAATTCACTTTAGTTGACAATAGAGAGCAACTGGAGAGAGTTTTCACAGGGGAGGGAAGGGTATGGGCTCTGCAGATGCTGGAAGTTATCCACCCCATTCTTTGCCTTAGCTGCTCAGTAACATCTACATTAAAAAAATTTTTTTTTATTAAGGTATTATTGGTATACACTCTTATGAAGGTTTCACATGAAAAAACAATGTGGTTACTACATTTACCCATATTATCAAGTCCCCACCCACACCCCAATGCAGACACTGTCCATCAGTGTAGTAAGATGCCACAGATTCACTCTTTGCCTTCTCTGTGCTACTCTCTTTTCTCTGTGATCCCCCATACCATGTGTACTAAACATAATACCCCTCAATCCCCTTATCCCTCCCTTCCCACCTGCCCTCCCACACCCCTCCACTTTGTTAACCACTAGTTCATTCTTGGAGTCTCTGAGTCTGCTGCTATTTTGTTCCTTCAGTTTTGCTTCATTATACTCCACAAATGAGGGAAATCATTTGGCACTTGTCTTTCTCCACCTGGCTTACTTCACTGAGCATAATGTCCCTCCATCCATGTTATTGCAAACGGTAGGATTTGTTTCTTATGGCTGAATAGTATTCCACTGTGTATATGTACCACCTCTTCTTTATCCATTCATCTACTGATGGACACTTAGGTTGCTTCCATTTCTTGGCTATTGTAAATAGTGCTGTGATAAATATAGGGGGGCATCTGTCTTTTTCAAACTGGGCTGCTGTATTCTTTGGGTAAATTCCAAGGAGTGGGATTCCCGGGTCAAATGCTATTTCTATTTTTAGTCTTTTGAGGAACCTCCATATTGCTTTCCACAATGGTTGAACTAGTTTACATTCCCACCAGCAGTGTAGGAGGGTTCCCCTTTCTCTGCATCCTCACCAGCATTTGTTGTTCTTAGTCTTTTCGATGCTGGCCATCCTTACTGGTGTGAGGTGATATCTCATTGTGGTCTTAATTTGCATTTCCCTGATGATTATTGATGTGGAGCATCTTTTCATGTGCCTGTTTGCCATCTGAATTTCTTCTTTGGAGAGTGTCTATTCATATCCTCTGCCCATTTTTTAATCGGGTTATTTGGTTTTTGGGTGTTGAGGCTTTTAATTCTTTATATATTTTGGATGTTAACCCCTTGTGGGATATGTCATTTACAAATATATTCTCTCATACTGTAGGATGCCTTTTTGTTCTGTTGATGGTGTCCTTTGCTGTACAGAAACTTTTTAGTTTGATGTAGTCCCATGTGTTCATTTTTGCTTTTGTTTCCGTTGCTCAAGGAGATGCGTTCAGGAAGAAGTTGCTCATGTTTATATTCAGGAGATTTTTGCCTATGTTGTCTTCTAAGAGTTTTATGGTTTCATGACTTACATTCAGGTCTTTGATCCATTTCAAGTTTACTTTTGTGTATGGGGTTAAACAAGAATCCAGTTTCATTCTCTTGCATATAGCTGTCCAGTTTTGCCAACACCAGTTGTTAAAGAGGCTGTCATTTCCCCATTGTATGTCCATGGCTCCTTTATCATATATTAATTGACTGTATATGGTTGGGTTTATATCAGGGCTCTCTAGTCTGTTCCATTGGTCTATGGGTAGTAACATCTACATTTAAAGGTGAACTATATTCTCCCCTTCTACTCCTCTGCGAACGGTGATATAATGGTAGTGGCAGATATCCATTATAATTGAGCACTTATTACATGCCTGGTCCGGTCTAAGCATCTCACACAAATACTTATTTCTCACAATTCTATGAAGAAAAAGAGGCATGGAAAGATAAAGTAACTATCTGTATCACACAGCTTGAGGCTGAAAGACCTGGGATTTTTGACCTCAGATACCTGGCTTTAGAGGCAGTGCTCTTAAAAGTCTTAAGTTATACTGTCCTATTCAGTTTTCTTCAGGTCCAGGTGGCACTCCTAGCAATCATCCTGTAGTCTATGGACTAAACTGAATGATAAATAACCAGCACACTTCTTTGTGACATATATGGGAGGGAAAACAGGACAGCTGACTAAAAATCTTAATTAGAAAGGAGAAAAGTGGGAAGAAACAGTAGGGCATTCTAAGTGGTTTCTACTTCGGAATGTATTTTGATGGTCAGAGTGATAGTCAAGTAAATTAAAAGACCAGGAAAAATGACAAGCATTAGTTGTTGGCTAATAGAGGAAATGGCTGACCTGGATGCCACATATTTGGCTGCTGATACTGCCGCTGTGAAGATTTCCATTATCTTTGTCTATTATTACTTAGGGCCACTCCCTAAGGGCCTGCATAACCAGATCAGGTCACTTTTGGCTGGTGCTGCCATCTCCTGTACTGGAGGTCAGGCATTTGGGGAAAGGTCATCCTCACTGTGCTTTAGTGACTCCTATGCCTTTGCTTTATAGGCTTGGGGGAAGGAGTTTATTTGATGAGGCAGCTCTTGTAGAACCTTAAGAGGCTGCCTGACAATTTTATATTTTAAAACTGATACGTGAGCCATTACCACAGCTCTTCTCTGGTCATAGCAGAATATGGCAACCCTACACTTTTCTGCTTTTAGTTCAGGTGACCAGTAGGCTACCAACATGTGTTTTTCAGTTGTTCTGGGAGAGAAGCTGTGAGCTTAGGTGAGAGTCCATTTCTGTTCTGGTCATCTATAGCTAGGAGGTTAGAGTCACATCATACAAACCTGACTGAGGGGTCATCTTGATGGGTTGAGGAAGAGGAAGGAGCAAGTTCTCTGTAAAGGAAAATTGTGGGCTGAGTAGTTGAAGACGATTGTAGAAATGCATCATGTA